AAAGATCAAACCAAGTTCTAGGGCAGAAGAAGTGTCACACAACCTTCTTTATGTGGAGGTACCTACTAAAAGAACTCAGAACAGATGTTTATCTTTCATAAACATTAAACTATTTGGCAAATTGAAGGCTGAGGAAGCTAACAGAGTGAAGGACAGTCCAGGAAGTCAGGGATTCCTGGATGTGAACCCAACCTTGATCTTATTTCTGTGTTTGCTCTGAATCAGTGCCAGACTCTTCACACCTCAGCTACTTTACAGCAGGCCAGAATTATACTGAGGAACAAAACTGCCCTGTGAATGTCGTGGGTTAAATGGTTAATATTACAGCTCTCAAAGGTACTTCCACAACAGGTAAAGCACTCTTCACATACATTATTTACCTTTGTTTTATTAGGGGATTAAAATACAGTATGTGTATGCTGACAAAATGACCTGGAAAAGAAACCATTCTTTCCATTCCTTCCCAAGTTTTTGTCTACTTCAGTCATGATCAGTTATTCAGTCAATTAGGATACTCAATTCTGTGATTGTTCAGTTGAGCATTTTCAGGGAGTTTAATGGCCAGCTCTGGCCCCCATCCACCTGAGGAAACATCTTCCCCATGCAAGTACTGATTCAGCAACCTCTGGGAAAGAATTCATGTGTCCGTGCCAGGAAAGAAGCTCCAATATCCAGTCTCCACCCCAGAAGACCCTGCTGCATCCATAGCTGGCTCTGCCCTCCCTGCTCTGGAATCTTCAAAGATCAGAATGGGATGACAGGAGGCCCAAACAATGGATACACTTATGAATAAATGTGTAATTTTTTTTAACAATTAAAAAAAGATCAGAATGGTTTCACTTTCTCCCTACCACTTCATGAGAAGAGTGGCCTGGTCCCTTCCTGGCATTCAATGAATGGTTCTCTCTCCCTACATTTGGACCGTTGGTCCTCCCAACCAGGCATTAACTGGCAGGAAATGCCCTCTTCAGCAATCACTATTGTGTAAATAAAGCCATACACTTTTGAAGGTCTGTGCAATCCCAGACCCCAAAGCTGCACGTGTCAAGGGGAAATCTTGATTGTAAAAGCACTACCTTTCAAATTAAACTCAAACCACATGATACAGTCCATAAAATATACAGAACATGCAGTCCAGTGACAGATTTACTGTGGCCTTCCAGAATAGAGGGGGGAAAACCTCTCTACAGAAAACACAGCTACTTTTTACCCAAATAGCCCTCAAACAGGAAGTTTAAAGCAAATCAGCCAGCTGTGGGTCTAAGTTCTGAAGGAGACCAGTGCAACCAGCATTTCCTGTCTTTGCCTGTCACCATTTCTGAGTGCTTCTATCTGAATTGTTTTCTTACATGGCTAAAAATATTATGGAGATTTCTTTGGGGGTAGACACAAGGCAATAAAAAGGGCTATTAGATATGATCTAGGCTTGAAAGTGAACAATGTAACATTAACAAAAAAAAAAAAACCCAAAAACCCATGCACTTAGCACAGGTCACCCAGCAAGTCACTAGGACTACTGCATTTGAATGAATACCAGAACAGACCACATTAGTAAAAGTGTTTAGAGCCAGACACGAGATAGCTTGTTTCCTGTTAATTTAGGATCCACACTAAGAACCATAATTTTCATGCACCTGATTAGAAAGTGATAGATTTTGCAGGCTATCGTAGCCCAGACACCTAGTTTCTTCGAGTTGCACTCCTCCCTCTCATCATCACAGTCTGCCAAAATGACTTGTGCAAGTTCAATATATGTGCAGGTATGAGTTCTCCAACGGAATCACATTCTAGATCGTCGTCATCTTCATCATCATTATTCTTCCCTTCACAAAAGAGAAGTATTCTCACATATTTCCATCACTTGGACACATTTTTCCAGGCTGCTAACTTCACAATCACAAAAGAGTTTTGGATGGGAGCAGGGGACACTAATAAAGTAAAAACATTTTGCCCTACTGTTACTGCTAGATTCACTCTCTCAATATGTCCAAATGAATTCCCTGACAGAACTGGGTCTATCTCTTTCAGAAAGAGAATTAATGCATATAAGAAGGGGAGCCAGCTGTCAAGTCAAAAGTCCAGGCAAAATCCAAGCATTTTCTCCTAAAACGCTCTCCCTTATGGAACTTGTCAATGGAAGTCCAGCCCCCACCTAGCCTAAGCACTTACTGACACGGGGTCTGAGGCCAAGGCTATAGGCATTCATGAAACAGATCAAATTACACAGGCTCAGCACCCCAGCACCCCTCCAAAGATTTTATGTATTTTGAAGCCCTTAGATAAAAAAAACATGACTGTGTAATGTGTACGATGTTTCACCACATACTTCTGGATGAGCTGACAAGGTTTCTTTTTATGCCATCTAATTACTTGGGGGGAATGCGGTCATAGATGACTGGGGAGTTTAAATGTTTCTCAAAATCACTTCAGAAAAGAAACACTCTTCCCTTCTTTGGATCCTCATCCATCACAGACGGCAAGAATTCTGAGAAACATCAATCCACCCTTTAACAAAACAGCATCCACAACTGGATCATTTATTGAGTGCCTGCTTTGCAGAGGACAAATGCAAACTCCTTTGCTTGGGCAGTAAGGTGAAATACGATCCCCACCTCCATGCAGTGGGTCTACATATTTGAACTAGAACTCAGAAAAACCACTGGATAATCCATGAATCCAATCTTTTTCCTTTAAGAAATACTTTATTAGCATATATTAACATGCAAAATAGTGGGTTTCATTGTGATGTTTTCATACATGTATGATGTACTTTGATCATATCTATCTTCCATATTACCCTCTCTTAGCTTCCCGATCCCCTTCCGCTTCCCTAACTGCCCTTACTTTCATGTCTTTGTTGTACACTGCGAATTCTATCTTAATAAAGCAGCCACCTTAATATCAACCAACAAACGCATTTTCTCCATTCGTGAAGTAACTCAGGAGTTATACTACAGAACCGTATGCCCCAGCTAACAGTATACATGACACTTATTTTGCTTTGTTTGCTTTTTCTGCGTAAAGGCTGAAGATTAAAAAATGTAAAACACAAGCTCTCCGGCTCTTTTACTCTTTTTTCTAACAGGCCACTCTCCCACCTACTCCCCAATACATCCTCTTGTTTGGTTTCTTCCTACTGCCACATAAGAAGAAACTTCGAGAGCTGTACCTAAAGGCCGAGAGTCCGGGCACAAAAGATAATTGTAGAGGACTGAAATGACAAGACTTGCCTCTTCACTCTGGACTTTGCTTTCTGGATGCAGTAAAAAGAGGCACTATTCACATCTGTATCTTGGTAAATAAAAACCCATGCAAATCCAACCTGTAAATGGGCATTCAGAGTCTAATTGAAAATAAGACAGCTTCCAGTGTCCTTTTTTGGTTTCATTGGTGACTTCCTCACTTTCTAAACTACATGTGACAGGAGGGACCCGGGTCACAGCATTTCTTTTCTTTTTTTTTTTTTAATCTGCTGAGCCAGTCTAAAGAACTGTTTCTACATAACTTTGTGTTCAACACTGGGAAGTATGGGACCTATGCTGAATGCAACTTCAGGTGACAGAAAAATAGGAGCTGGTCTCAGCCATCTCCCTGGGCTTATGCACAGTTGCTTCAGTGTCCCTCAGCACAACATTCACCCTAGTTGTTGTGGATTGTTTGTCAATAAAAGGTAGAAATAATACTACCAGAAATGACAGGAAGAGTGTTCCTAAAATGCAGAAACCAATTAGAAAGATGACTGTACTCTTTCATTTACTTAAACTTTTCCTGTGAACGGCAGGCACTGGGGACGCGACGGAGAGACCCAGGAACGTGCCTAACTAGGAGTTACTAGTATGTTCAATAGGACACCTGAGTGAACCTAAAGAAACCTTTCTCAATGTCTGCCCCAGTTGCAGGCAATGCCAAGAAGTTCTGAATTCCAAGAGTCTGATAGGGACTCTTTTAGGCCAATTTAAACACCCCAAATGGAAAACCAGATCTAGCCAATGATCAGTCTCTAGGATGCTCTCACGGCATAACAAGATCAAACAGTCTGCTGGACGTCTCTAGTGCCAACCCCTGCACAATTGAGACTGCTTTTTCTCAACTGGAGGCCCTCTCACTGTACAAGCAGAAAACTCCTGCCTAGCATCAGAAACAAATCACTCCTGCTCATGAGCCAACTTAATGCTGATGCAGAAGGACTTGAGAGTGGACATAATATTTTAACAAGCATAACTAATTGAGTCTTAAATCTCTAATCAGGCTCCTTTCCCCCTCAACTCTTTGTTTTCATGGCTGTTAAAAAGAGTTCTGGGAAAATGAGCATGGTAGTGCGTCCTTGAGTCCCAGCTACTTAGGAGGCTGAGGCAGTGAGAGCACTTGAACCCAGCAGTTCAAGACCATCCTGGGCATAGTCCCTGTGTCAAAAAAATTTATTTTTAGGAAAAATAATCATAGATTGCTATGATTCTTGAAAAGCACCATTTAGATATACAGGAATATATATATATATATATTATATACTCACACACATATGTATATATTGATCCATCCACATAGATACATAAAACACACACACACACACCAATTTAAATCCAGTCTCCTTTTGTTCTCTCTTCCTCTTGAATTCTAAGCAATGCATTCACTTTATGAAAGTTATCCTCCTGGAGTTGAACATTCACACCCCTGGTTTATTAGAATTTCATTCTTAGGATTGGAGGAATGCTAGAAAAACAGACATTTTTTCTATATTCTTCCAGGAAGAAATCGATTTATGGCAGTAAAAATTGTTCTTAATTGACTCACGCACACTGGTGTCTGTGTTCCCAAGTTTGGGAGTACCTTTACTTCTGAAATAAATATAAGGTTCTGCTTCCTGAATTATATTATTTTCCCCATGAAGCCTTTCAAAACAGTGACACTTAATTTAATACCAAGTAGAACAAAGTGATAGATTTATACTATGTCTTTATTAGAATGAATGACCTGAAAAAATATTTTCTGATCCCTTTCAGGTCGTCATGTGGATATCACTATCACCTGATAAGGTAATTGATACCTTATTTATTCTAATTCTCACAGTTTTCATTCAAACAATGTCATTTAGCTGTCTTGAGAGGATATATAAGCACTCAGAAAGAGTAGGATGCCACCAGATGGTTCCCTTTAAATCTAAAAGCCCACATTGATACAGATCTAATTGCTTTCTTCAGGTCAAAATTTATGTGTTTGTTGGTTAGTTAGTTGACAATTAAACTACTTGCTCCCAGACGCTGGTTATTCTCTTAGAGGGAAAACATTCACCTCGTTTTATCTGAAGCCTGTTTTTCTGTCTTTTTTTGAAGTGAGAGACATACTACACCTTGAGAGAGGCAGAAAAATCTCACAGAAGTCATAACTTGTGATTTCTACTTTCTTCACATTGCATCCATTTAAATCCATCTTTTCAATTTAGTAGACATTGTCAGAAGAAAACTCAACAGTCGGGCCCAGGGGCATACACCTATAGTCCCAGCACTCGGAAGGGGTGGCAAAGGCAGAGGATCTCCAGTTTGAAGCCAGCCTGGGCTTCAAGAAGGAGACTCTGTCTCAAAAAACCATCAGGAAAGTCAAAAACAAAACTCAATCTCACAAAGCACCTCCATGAAGTAAGGGGGAATTTGGCCTGCATCTCTCTCAGACACTTGGTCATTTTAACATGACACTGCCCATTATCTTAGCTTAATTACAGGATCAAGTTACTTGTCAAACACGTACTGTAACTTGTTTTTGTCTGCTCTGTCCCAATCTCCATTCGTAATCCTATCAGACATCATTTATTTCAAAAGAGAAAAATTCTGCCACCTTCCTAAATTCATTGTACTATAAGCAGGGTAAGTGTAAGATTTTATGAATGGAGCTTCATCACTTTCAGGTTTCTCACTCCCTTACTTCCCTTCTCTTTTCCCTCACAAGGAAAGACAGCTGAGTGGAGAACAGAATTACACTTAAAACAACACTGTCAACATCTGCACAACAGCCGAGAGGCTGTCACTGTTCCAGCCTGTGCAGAACTTACTGGACAGAGACTCAAAAGACAAAACCTTTTTTATTCCCAGGCTGCTTTTTAGTTTCTCGGATCGTCAGGCTGGACAGATGATAACAACCTACTGCTTAAAAGGATGACTTACACAAGTGCCTGCAAGTACAATAGGAGGCAAGAGGGCCCATTTGAGGCAAATCGAATGCAGGCAATTAGGGGAACGTACATTCTAATTTACTTTACATTTTTAGGTTCTTGCAAATGCACAGAAAAGTCTTCTATTTAAATTAAGGGCGGTGCACAAATTCTGCTCCTCAGTGTAAGCACTTACTTTGTGCAAAATATTATTTAGGTGTAGGATGGGTGCAAGGGAATACCAAAGCTACTTTGGCAACTGGCTCATGATAATAGATTTTATCCCCCCTTAAAAAGCAGCTGTTGTGAAATGCCTAAAATGGACAGTGTGGGGGGAGAGCTACTTTATAATAGTCCTGGGAGCCGTTATGACTGCTTAAAGCAGCAAAGGAAATCGGAGAAATGAAGTAGCTCTGAGAAGTAGAACAAAACATGCAGTCACCACCTCTAGCTGAGCACTAGATCAATCCTCTCTCAAGGTATTTTTTTTTTTCTGACAAACACTTTCACTTGTATTTTCACAGGAGACCTCCAATCTCATCACTATAGGAGGCAGCAGAATGGAACTGGCAAAATTTCCTCATCTCTGATCCCAATCTGGCCTGTCTATGCTGGCCCCAAAGTTTCATATTTTCACTTAAAACATGATACATTTGTCTGAAGTAATTCAGCAGCAAGGCAGAATGCAATCACTAAAAATGAGAGAAGTTGCTTTTTGTCATGGTCCCATTACAAAAATGCAAGTATGTGCTGCACTACCTGTAGCAATTCCCCTTTCCGACGTGAAGCAATGAATTGACCCACCTGCTCCTCTGAACAATAATCAGAAAAAAACGATGTGAAATTATTACACAGCAAATTCCACTGTATGCGGTTCAGTTCTTTGTTTCTAGGTAGACTACAGCACCTGGGCAGAAAAAGTGCCCCATCCTTCAATAGGCACAAACCCCCCTCACCTTCCAGACACTTGCTAAGCTTGCTAACAGGAGTATTTGCCAACCAGGAGAAGGAACCAGTAGAAAGAGGTAAAATAGTGGCTGGGCCATAGGCAAAAGCCAATTTAGGCCTTTTGGCAAAGTTTATATAAATATGAAAGCATCCTCCCAAAGTATTCAAAGTATGTTTTAAAAGACTTGAAAGTAGACGGGGGGGGGGGGGGGGGGAGCACGATATGGGACACTATTTGGGGAGAAGAGGACCAGCAGGAAGTGGGTGGGGAACAAGAGAGGATAATGGGGGGTTGACCATGATCAAAGTAATTACATATGTGTTTGAAAATGACATAATGAAACACATTAAAATGTACAAAAAAATTTTAATCACTTTACAAATTGTAATTACTCCAGTATTTAAACATTAAGGGCTAAATTTGCATTGGCAAAAGAGAAAATGTGAATATAATCAGGAAAAAGCCAAGGTCTCTGGCAAACTTCATTGTCAATATGCATTTCATCAGAAGGGGGGAAAACTCAGATGAATTGTATTAAGCAATGATGTGTAGTCATTTGTATGGCTATGTTCACAGTCTGTTTTCCAACCATTATATCAGTAATCACCCAAAGACTTATTAATTAACCTAGGGAGCCAGCATCATGAAAAATTACCAATCATTCCAAAGTTAATTCTTGCAATAGTTTTATATTAATTGGTGCTTCTCATGAACTTCATACAGGGCATATGGAGAGGCTGTGGGGATTTCAGCCCATTGTACAAACAGCAATTTAAGATCATGTAGGAGAAGGGAACTCCTGTAAAATACATTAATTAGAGCAACAATAAATTCATGACTTGTATCTATATATACTGATCAACAGACAATGTTCAGGAAAACACACTGTAGGTTTACCATAATCATTATAAAACTATACAAATTAATCACCTAAAAGTCAACTTTCATTACTCGCCTGGGTTTAATTTCGTTTTCTTACCATAAAAGCCTATTGTGTGAATGTTAAAAGCTAAAGTTACCTTTTTAATATTTCCCTACCATCTACTATCCTCACGCCCTTCAATCCCGGATGGTAAAAGCAAGCTGCCCAAATGAGCTGACCCAGGGCGGGAAGAGACGCGGTATGGCAAGGAAGCTGTGGCACCCACTCACGATGTCGCACGGAAATGGGAAAATTAGTTGTTGAAGCATTTGCTGATGACATGCCATGCAAGAAGTTCCTTTAAATTAAAACAAGAAAAAAAAGTAGGAAAAAGGAAGACGGAAGAAAAAGAGAAGAGGAAGAAGATGAAAGCTCTAAAAAAAAAACCCGCAACAAGTTGCAGGATTAATTTTCCTTCTATGTGCCATTTGGTAAAATACAATTAAAAAGGCGTTGTATTTCGTGGGCGTCCTGCAAAGGCAGCCACTCTTGCACCCCCAAACTCCTGTCCAGCCTTACCTTATGCTGCCAGCGCAAACCCAGCGACTAAGGGGCCCAGCTCTCGGCGGCAGCGGCGGGGGCAGCGACAGCGACAGCGGCACATGCCATCTGTTAGCGGTAGAAGCAAAAGCAGCGCTGCGCGAGGTGGCCCCGGTGCCGGGAGAGCCTTTAGCAGGGGTGTCTACTGAATGCCGCCATTTTAAAGCGAGGTTCCTGAAATCATTAGATATAAGCAAATTAAAGCCCGCCCCACCCTCAGAACTTCAGGGCTGGGACGTGCTACTCTGCGCCAAGTCCCCGCTGTGGGGTATAAAATGTCAAGTCTGCAAACACGCACGCCGGGGACTCCCGGACGCAGGCGACAACCTCTCCGCTGCCCTGTCCCCCTGGCCGCACTCGTGCTTTGGGGAAGGCCGTTTTTCAGGCCCGGGAAGACAGGAGGGTTATGTTTTCTTTGCTTCCCCGCCGCGGGTGGGGTCTGGAGGAGGGGACGGGGACGCGGGCCGCCCCCCCCTCGGTCCCATGCTCTTGGTTCAGTCCACTTGGAGCACACCTCGGAGCGCCCCAGCTCCCTCGCGGCGGGCGGGCGTGGGGCTCCCGCCCGGGCTCGCGGCTGCCATGGCAACGCCCGCCCCAACCCCGCCAAGGCCCCGGCCCAAGGCCCCGCCCGCGTCCGGCGCCCGCGGTCCCCACGCTGCACACTCGGGACGCGCCGCCGCCGAGAGGGGCTTTGGGCGCCCCAATGGCAACTCCCGCCAAACTCTGCCAGGCGGCCTGGGAAGCCGCCCGGCTCCGCCCCGCCCGGCCACCAGGTAGTGCGACGCGCCCCGCATCGCCGTCACCGCCGCCGACCTCACTCACCTGGCTCGGCGCCCCACTCCCGGTCCCCGGCTCGCGGCTGCGGAACGCGCGGGAATTCGGACGCGTGCGGCTGCCACCCCCGCTCCCGCGCCCACCGCGGGACTCTCTGTCCTCTGCCTCCCTCTCGCTGCTCCCAAAGAGCGCCAAAAAGTCGCGCTCCTGATCCCGCTCCGAGTGCGGGCACTTTCTTCCTGTACGGCGCTGTTTCGTAGCGAAATATATTCTTTGTGTGATTCGTTCATTCGTGCTGGGGTTTCGCAGAGCGCAGCGCGGGCTTTATTCTAGGGGGTGTGGCGCCGCGCCCCCAAACCAAGCGGCCCACCCCCCGCTGCGAATGCCCTTTGTCATTTCATTATTAAGGGCAGGGGGCGAATCATAACGCTCAGGTTAGACAAAAGCGAAAACAAACGGAGCCTGAGCACATCCTGCGGGGGGGGGGAGCTGGGGGGACAGCAAAGTTTCTAGAGCTGCAGGGACTGAAGTGCCAATGACGAATGCAGGAGTAGCTTAAAGCAGATTTGTAGACACTTCAGAGACAGGTGAGGCGACACGGGTAATTCCCAAAATGACCTTCCTGAATAAATGTATCGACTCGCTGCAGGCTAAACAAATAAATACTCACCAGCTGCTTTTCTTGGGTCTTCTCCCTTCTAGAAATGTCCCAATCTTATTTCTCTCTAAGAACTTCCGAGAGGAAAATGTAGATCAGTGGAAATACTTCCCGTTCTTCAACAGTTTGCAGGGTAGGAGGAGCCCCGAGGTAGGGTTCCAGATACTTTTGAATGGAAAACGGACAAAACCAATGCAATTTTATATTTTGATTAAAAAGTGTGCATCTGGACAGCTAAATTACAAGTTTCAATTTAATGCGAGTGGAATAGGGGCACCAGCTGTCCCTAAATTGGAGCCCCACAATAATAAATGCGTGCTTTTATTTAATTTTATGAGGACAATTGTACTTGATAATACACACATATGCAGGATCTTCAGTGACAAGCTCATAGCAATTCAGGGCCACTTTCCTGCAATCAACTGCTTCACCCGAGGACCCAATTCCACATTCACTACAGAAAGTGCAAAAACATAGCAGGAGGTATTTAAGCGGGGGTTAGGTTGAGGAGCGCAGTGAATTCTCAGGCTAATTATACTTGGTAATTCTGTTGGACTGATCCAAATAGAATTCTCCAGCTAATTTTAGGCAAGAAATCGATCCCTGTTTGTTAAATGGAAGACAATAGGAGTAGAGTCCTAATGATCAGGAAGAGACAAACGGCCCTTCAAATAATTGAGAAAGTCCCCAATGGTGTTTGGCAAGAATTGTGAAAGACATCAGGACAAGATGCAGGGACAGTCCCTGACACTTGTAATAATGGATCAAATCCCAGCATAAGTTAAACAGAGTTGGAGTTTCTAGTTATCTCATTAATTCCTTTTTTTTCCTCCAGTGCTGGGGATGGAACCCAGGGCCTCAGGCATGCTAGGCAAGCTCTCTACCACTGAGCTACATCCCCAGTCCCTATCTCACTAATCCCTAACCACTTCCCCCCATCTCCCTTCAAACTTGCCAAATTCCCTGCATTGCTATAAAAGTCAAATTTGTGAGATGTGTAGGAAGTGGTTTTGGCACTCCAGGAACCAGCACAGTTAAAGGTAGGAGGTGTTGGCTACCGCAGGACGCTGGAGAGAAAGGCAAGGCTAAATTATATAACTTTATATCCAATGAGCTAACAAATGAGGAACTGTTATCGCACTGAGTTAACAAAGGAGCCTTTATACTCAACTTGGGCAACACCACTTCCCTCACCTCTGTCACCATTGCAAGCCGCATCTCCTGTGTGACAACTGGGGTTTCCCTAATATCACACAAACTGGCTCAATTTTATTATTCTTGAGTTGCTGAAATAACTTTTATCATAAACATAAGGCACACATCAGTCGATTTGCTCATTTGGGACAGTATGGCTTCAATATTGGCCCTTGCTTGAAATTTCTGACTAGCGAAAATGGCAAATGAGACTTAATCATTCTCTCTTTCCCACACTGGAGGGGACAGTAACCTTACAAACCTATTTTTGCCTGACAAAATGTCTTCCTTTTATCCTGAGTGGTATGGCCTCCACAAAGGAAGCTAGGCAAACTCCATACTACCCAGGCACTGGGGACTAAGAAATTGCTGTCCCCTCCCCTCAGCCTTTTAAAAGGGTCCATTTGCTGTCTGAAGTGGACTCATCTTGGAATTACTTTCCACTTTAGTAGAGTGGTTAGAACCACTCAACATTTTCTCTTCTGTTCTTCTTGGGCACAACTAGGGCATGACCCAGGGAAAATTGAGAGGTTAGAGTTTTTACCATAATGTGTGTACATTATAGTCTTTCAGTACTTATACCTGCTCCTCCATTACATTTGTGGATCATAACAGAACCACGATTAAGATGCATCTTTAAAGGTCAGTGTGCTGAAACACTTGGATTTAAAATTTCAATCCCATCCTGCCACCCCAGCCAGTCAAATTGAGGCATATAAGCAAGCAGTTTAACATTCCTTGGGAGCACTTTTCCTGTGGTCTAGCTGTGATTTAAAGCTTGAAATAGACATGTATACATAAAAAATGGAAGGCCAAGACTCTGGCTAAAGATGTAGCAGCCTCTCAAGTAGTCTATTCTTCCAATAAAATATGATTAACTTGGATGCAGGAAAGAATTCTAAAAGTTGTGGAATGGTTTAGTCACAAAAGGATTATTGTAATTCACCACCAAACAAATGTTGCT